CACTTTTTCTGTTTACACACGACTCCATCACTCAATTGAATTGCCTTAGTCACTGGTGATTATGATTTCTGCATCACGTCACATCGTGCCAATAAGAAAAAGATTAATTGCATTGAAAAGAAATCATATCACCACACTCAATTAGATTCACCTTCGATAACGAAATTTAAGGCAATGGCTCACGTGCTAATGAAGATATTATTTGTATTACACCACATCAAATAATCAATGTGAGATTTTTCTAAAACTACTTACGTGTATGCCGAATAATGATGTTATCCTTATCAAAAATAGGAAGATGTGTCTACATAGACAGTAACTTTTTACATTTAACTTATATCCAAATCTTGTAATAGATGCACTTTAACTTTTTCTTTTTCCATGACACCCGAAACTTTTATATATAAATTTGATATGTTGATTTACGTATAAGTTTCCCATATTTTTCAAACTTTAAATAATATTTTAAATTTTGATAGGTTTACTTTTGTTGCAAAAGTACAAAGAATTACTTTATGCTTGGTGCAGGACTTTGGGACAACAAAATTTTGTCCATTGGTGCATGGGTCCCACATTAAGTTTTATAAAATACTTTTTCTCATCCAAAAAAAAATCTTGACAGAAGTAACATCTCGTAGAAGGTCTCTGCCCTATAAAATGGGCCAAATTCCCTTAAAAATCCTCAACTTTAGGTCGAATCTCAAATCTGTTTTGAATTTTTTTTATCTCAGAAAAAACTCCAAACTTTATGTTCAGTCCCAAATCTGCCCCGAAATTTCTTTTATTTCAGAAAAAACCTCAAATTTTAAATTCAATCTCAAATCTGTCGCGAATCGTGTTTTGTGTTAAAAAAATCACCAAAATTCAATTTATTTTAAAACATATATCCTAGTGATCCAATTTTAACTTGATGTGGCACTTCCACGTTGATAACAAATTACATCAACAAAGACTGGACCTAAAGTTTGAGATTTTTTCTGAGATAAAAAAAAGTTTGGGATAGATTCGGGATTTGATCTAAAGTTTGGGGTTTTTTAGGTAATTCACCCCTATAAAATGTGACCCAGACTTCTCGTCATTTCCTTCACCGATCAAACTCAACCATAGAACAAGAAAATTTCGAGAGGCTGCAAACAATGGATCTGGATTTTGACCTGACTATTGCCCGCCGTGAAGCCCAACCCAAACCCCTTTCCATCCTCAAGGCGCCGCCGATCGCCGCCTCCTACAACGACAGGATCCGCCCTCTGCTTGATGCGGTCGACAAGCTCCGAAACCTCCAGGTCATGCAGGAGGGCATCCAACTCCCCACCATTGTCGTTGTCGGCGACCAGTCCTCCGGCAAGTCGAGCGTCCTCGAGTCTCTCGCTGGCATCAGCCTGCCGCGGGGGCAGGGCATCTGCACGCGCGTCCCCCTTATCATGCGCCTCCGAGACCGGCGTCAAGATGAAATCCCTAAGCTCCACCTCGAGTTCAACGGCAAGACGATGGATCTCGATGACGAGGATGACATCTCTGACGCCATAGTCACCGCGACAGTCGAGATCGCTGGCTCCGGCAAGGGCATATCGAATGCCCCGCTGACTCTGGTCGTCAAGAAAGATGGCGTCCCGGACTTGACCATGGTCGACTTGCCTGGAATCACGAGAGTGCCCGTGCACGGCCAGCCCGAGAACATCTACGAGCAGATCTCGGCGATGATCATGGAGTACATAAAGCCTGAGGAGACCATCATCCTCAATGTCGTGTCCGCGACCGTCGACTTTTCCACTTGCGAGTCCATAAGGATGTCACAAGTAAGTATACTCTAGCCACATTCGTCGCCCATATCAATTAAAAACTCGAATGATTCATACAACTCTAGCAAATGAGTCGATACAATAATCTGTTTTTATGTTTCAGATGGTGGACAAGACTGGCAAGAGGACTCTGGCCGTCGTCACAAAGGCTGACAAAGCTCCGGAGGGCTTGCTCGAGAAAGTGACGGCGGATGATGTCAATATAGGGCTCGGTTATGTGTGTGTGAGGAACAGGATTGGAGACGAGTCCTACGAAGAAGCGAGGATCGAAGAGGCGAAGCTGTTTGACACGCATCCTCTGCTGTGCAAAATTCACAAGTCCATCGTTGGTGTGCCTGTCTTGGCACAAAAGCTGATGCAGATTCAAGCCACCATTATGGCCAAGTGTTTGCCAGATATCGTAAAGAAGATCAATGACAAGCTGAACGCTAACGTCGCTGAGCTTAATAGAATGCCCAAGAATCTGTCCTCAGTCGCAGAGGCCGTGGCGACCTTCATGCAGATGATGGGGTCGGCGAAGGGGTCGCTGAGGAAAGTCCTGCTGAAAGGCGAGTTCGACGAGTACCCAGACGACAAGAACATGCACTGCACGGCCAGGCTGGTGGAGATGCTCTCCAAAACTGCCCCGAGAACGACCCACGGACTGACTTCTTGTTGGAGGAACTGGATGTCTTGGAGGAGGCCAGAAGGATCGGGCTCCCGAACTTCCTTGCTCACACTGCCTTTCTCACCCTTTTGCAGCGGAAGGTGAAGGCGGTATCGAGCAAGCCACTGAGTTTCGGGGTTCGTGCTTGGGGCTACATTGAGGAGGTTGTTATTCGGGAGTTGATGCGACACTCGGAGAATTATCCTCAACTGCAGTATCGGACGAAAAGAGCAGCGTCCAATCTGATCAACAAGATGAGGGAGAAGACGACGAATAGGATGATGGAGATTGTTGAAATGGAGAAGCTCACTGACTACACTTGCAACCCTGAGTACCAGTTGGAGTGGAGCAAGCTGATGACCCAGCAGTACCACTTTATGCAGGTGATCAACGACGATTATCTGTCCACCAACATGGTCCTCGAGGGGATCGGGCAGGTCGACGTGCGCCATCTGAGGAATCACAAGCAGCTGGTTCAGGAGGCGTTCGATCTGAAGATGAGGATGACCGCGTACTGGAAGATCGTGCTGAGGAGGTTCGTGGACTCGATGGCACTGCACCTGCCGTTCTGCGTTCACAACTTGGTGAACAGGGATACGGAGAAGGAGATTGTGGGCGAGCTGATCGGGCCCAATGGCAGCGGTGGCATCGAGAGGATGCTGGAGGAAGCGCCGTCGGCAGCGGCCAAGCGCAAGAAGCTGAGCAGGAGCATCAAGCTGTTGAGGGAGTCTGCGGAGGTGGTGGCCAAGATCATGGACCGGATTGCTACTGATGGTGACTACAGGGTTTAGTTAGTCTGTTCTTCTACTGGCCCTTAATTAAGCTTGTCCCGTGATGATGTGTTTCTCTTATGAGTGTGTTAATGTTGCTGTTCTAGTAATCAGCTTTTAATTGATGCTTGGACATCGCTTGATCAAAATTTGTGAGGTCGAAATAAACTCCGGTACAACAAAATTAGATGTATGTCATGATTAGCTAATCAAAAAGTTGTGAGGAAATATTTCATTGACTTATGAAAGTATTTTTTGTAACCTCATTTTTCTTAGCGATATAAACGGATGAAAGGTTTGAAAATCTTTTGTAAACTACTGTTGGCACCTAATTTTTGATCTATTTTTTTTAAAATTTACTTAAAAATCACCAAAGTAGGATTAGAAACCTTGGCCATGCTTAGGAACCTATTACTAAACAAAAAATAATATTTTTAGATTTTTCTTGAATTTTTCCTTAATTTCTTTTGGCTAAAATGAGAAAAAAATCAAGAGAAATACCAAATAAAGTATAAAAATGTCCCAAAAATAGCCATTAGTCTTCTTTTAATTCCAATTTCAGCTCTACTGTTTCAATTTTATAAAATCTCAATTGGGGATATGTTTTTCCCAAAATTGGGTAATTTCGTATTCTAATTGTGCCAAAAACCCAATTAAGTCATTTTAGTCATTTTAGGGCTATGGTGTCTTCACAACAATTGATTCTGGGACCTTGAATTTCATATTGGTCTGTCTAATTTCACAATTTGGCAAAGGAATTGAAAAATCCCAAAATTAATTGAAAATTAGGGATTTTAAGACCCAAATTGGGGATTTCTTTCAATTTGAAATTTTTGATCAAAGCCCATACCTTCTCTAGGAGTAATTGATCATGGGAAATTCAATTTTGGCCTTGGAACAGCATAATTGGATCATTTGGACCTTTAATTGAATAAAACCCCAATTAAACTGAATGCAAAATTATAATTTTTAGGTTTAATGAGGATGAAAATTCAAATTGATTTCATATTTTGAGGCAAAATGTGTCAAGGATTCGAAATTTTGGATTAAAATTGAAAATTTGGGACAAAATGGGGTCCAATTTGTAAAAATAGACCAACTCGGGTTTGCTGGGTTGGTCGGATCCGACCTGACTCGACCCGGATTGGCCTTCTTCCTCATCCAGCTAGGAACACATGGTAAATGAAGAGGAAAAAAAATCAGTTCATCCCTGCCCCTTCACCGACCTAAAACTACCCATTCTGGCATGTGAAAAATGAAATGGACAGATGGAGAATGTCTATCCTTATCCATTCTAACCAATCGGCGAGTCGGTTAGAAATGAGAATTGCCTTGGGGAGGAGAAGAAAAGAGGCGGGAAAACCAGTTATCACACACAGAACCTGCTCGACCGAATGCCAGAGAGAGAGAGAGAGAGAGAATAGAGAAAACTAGAGAGAGAAAGCAAGAGGGATAGGGTTAGAGGTCCCCAACCGAGTGTCCGGCGCCGCCTTAACCGGAGGAGTGCCGGCAAATCGGTCATTGGCCGTGACCTCCCCTTCCCCGTACAAGCAAACCAGCTTACTGGGAAGTCCTGAAAACGAGACCCGATCAACCAATCGACGACTTTCCCATCGAAGTGGAGAGTACCAACTCGAAGAAGAAGTGTCAATGGACCATCCCATAGCCACTGTCCAATTCGAAAACTGAGTTTTGCTCCCCAACTACGAAGGTCAATATGCTTCACAGTCATACATTAATTGTTTGATAAAATGCCAAAATTGACTTCCCGAGCTTATTCGTGTATGGTTTTTGGATTTGCTCATTTCAATGATGCTTATTGGTTTCCCCTTTATGTTCCTAATCCATTTTTGGTTCGATTTATGCATTTTGGATCGACGGTTTGGCATTTGCATTGAGTTGGACCATAAAAACTCCATCGCCGGAGCAATCAACCCTTACCGGAGTGTATTTCCATGGCCATTGGCCATACCAAGTCAGTCTATCTTGTCCATTTAAGCGTAAATGCATGTTATGATTCGCTAGAAATTGTTAGGATGTTTTGTTTGTTAATCTTAATGCTAAATATGTTAGATTAGCTTAGTTTTTAAGGAATGATTTCCATGTTAAGTAGTGAAGTTTGAGCTTGTGAATCAATAGCTTAGGGAGATTCAATGGCAATATAACAGGTATGGATGAGTAGAGGATCATTTGGAGAATGTTTAGGACCGATTAGGGTAGTTGGCATATGGTCAGAAAGTCATCGAAGCGGCTGCTAAAGTGGCGGTGAGGATAAGATAGTATAGGTTCCAATGCCCACCACTTGTTTAAGGAAATGCCACAAAGAAGAAGAGGGGAAACGGCGCCTTTTTGGCACTGTTCCCGCCGGAGAGCTGATCGATGCCGGCTAAACCGGCCCGACTTGATCTGACTAGCCTGAACCGGCTCGGTCCGGTTTGACCTGGAATAAAACATAATAATAAAATAATAGAAAATTCTAAAAAAAATTAGAAAATTTAGAAAATTCTAAAAAAAATTAGAAAATTCGGAAAATTTGTAAAAAAAAATTAGAAAATCCAGAAAATTCATAAAATTAGGGGAATTTTAGAAAAATTCTGAAATTCATAAAAATCATAAAAATTTCAGAAAATCCATAAAAATTCAAAAAAATTCGAAAATTCTCAGAAAATCTAGAAAAATCATAAAAATTTGAAAGAAATTTGAAAATTTCGAAAAAATGCATAAAAATTTTCAGAAAATAAAAAGAAACTGATTTTGGGAGGATAAAAAATTTCAACAAGCTTTTTTCAAAATAAAAAATTTCAAAAATTCATATAATAGCTTAGAATACCTGTGGCCACCCACTTTGAATGAAATTTAATTGTTTTTAGGTACCCAAGTGGTATTTTTGAAGACTCTTGAGTTTAGGGATTAAAAGGGGTTTAACCTCCAAAACAGGTCTTCACCCCTAAAAAACCTTAAAATTCTAAAAAACTACACAATCCTTTGAATGAACAAGCCTTTAGGGCTCCACTAGGGTTTGGATGTTTTGATTGATTTTCATTTTTAGAGACCATTTTAGGATTGCTTTGTTTGATTGAAATTGATCATACATTTTCTTATTAATTGGTTGATTTCTCCCTATTAGAACAGTTATAATTAGTGGATAGGCCTTACGAACTCGTGTAACACATTTAGACACTCCGAATCGTTTTAGGTACCGAAAGGGCATTAGGGATCTCGATATCGAGATCATTAGCGTAACAAAGTCCCCTTACCCATGTAATCTTTAGTTCATAGAAATCGTAGTAGTTCTCCCATACCTCGATTAGGTTTCTAGTCGATCAATAAAGACTAGTGGCGATTCCAAAGCAAAATTTAGGCTAAATAGAAAATTAAATAACAAATACCCGCTGTCTTGTGAGGTATGGTCAAGGAGACCCTCGTTCGTTTATTAAATCACATTATCATTAGAAATGAACGAAAATAACTCCTAACGTGATCGGGTGGGCCAAAGCGCGGCGCGACAACTGCTGATTTTTCACGAGACAAAACGAAAGTAAATGGACTTCAAAGGTGCGTTTGGTAACTATTTTGTTCTCGGAAATAATTTTTGCTTATAAATGATTTTTTTTATTCTGTTCCTGGAAATAATTTCTAAGCATTTGAAGACGTTTGGTAATGATCCAAAATTTTCATTCCTGAAATAGAAAAAGAACAAATGTGTGTTTGGCAAAAGAACAAAATTTATTTTTTTTAATAATATTTTTAAATATTTTAATATTTCTTTCTTTTTTCTTTTCTTTTTTTCTTCTTCTCTTTCTTGGCCATGGCCCGCTACCGACCACATGCTAGGGTCGGCGAGGCCATCGCAGCCCTCACCGGCCACAGGCGAGGGCAAGGGTCGCCCTCGCAGCCTAGGCGAGGGACGCCCCCACTAGATTCGGATCCGGCAAGGGCTGGACCCTGCGGCCCTCGCCCAGGCCACGAGGGTCTAGGCCTCATCCTGGCCAGTCGCCGGCCAGGAAAGAAGAAGAACAGGAAAGAAGAAAAAAAAATCTCTTCTATTTGTAATTCTTGTTCCCATAATGAAGAATCAACTTTTTTTTCATTATTGATTCTGTTCCAAAATTGATTCTGAGAACAAATTTGTATTTGGGAACAAAAAATTTACCAAACGAATTTCTGTTCTTTTTTTGTTCCTAGGAATAAAAGAATAAAATTAATCATTATTTGGCAAGTTACTAAACACACCCCAAGTCATCTTCAAACAAAAGACTTGCTCTATTACAAATGATTCATTTATTGGTTGTTTGAAGTGATTTTGGAACTGTGACAGTGTTGCATGACACTTGTCTTTTCTGCATTGGTCGGTCTAATCGATTCCGACTATCATAGTGGTGGTCAACTCTATCATGGTCCTTGCCTCGTACTAAGCCATGCCGGCCCCTCTCCTCTCCACCACGGGTTGTGCTTGGCTCGGTACCGAAATGAGTAAGGCTAGCCCAGAAGCCAAATTTACCTCTGACAATCTAGAGAGATATCAATCGACCACCACGGCTGCCGCGAAGTGGGAAAAAATCATCCATTCCCTAGTATTCATATAAGTAGTTCGAGATTTTATTGGACTCATATAGACGTCTCTCTCTCTCTCTCTCTCTCTCTCTCTCTCTCTCTCTCTCTCTCTCTCTCTCTCTCTCTCTCTCTCTCTCTCTCTCTCTCTCTCTCTCTCGTTATTTTGGCTCAAAAGAAAAGGAAAAAAGAGATTTGTCGATTTGGGAAAATGATGTGACAATTCAGATCGTTATGTTGCGCCTATATGCGCCGATGCGACAATCGACGCTAGATAAATGCACATGACATGGCGAAACATTTAATAAAAGGACTGCATCGAGCGGGTTTCTGGGGACCATATTGAAATTGAAGAAAAGTTCAAGGATCGCCCTTGCCATTACCTCAACAAAGAGTATAAACTATGTACCATAATGTGAGAACTATCTATAGCTATCTATATAAAAATGTTGTAGCAAAAATGATTATGCAGAAAACGAGGCCGATACATCCCTGCACAGAATGGTCGTGTAGACAATTATCGTCACAATTTTCTCCGTCGTATTGTAGATGGATAGAAAACATCGAAACTCTTGAAAACATTCATGCATCTTATCTTGTCCTAGTATGTCGCAATTTGGTGCATTTTGCCATAACTTAAAGGATAAAATCTCATGTTGGCTATGCAAGTGACAAGGACATGATAAGTCGTACCATAGTTCATTTTGCAACAGCGCTTTTCATTGAGTTATACCAATCTCTCCCTCTACCATACGCTTTGATTCGAAACATCCGGTGTTGTTGAAGTTAGGGGAGTTTTGAAATATTCATTTGTCATTGGGATAGTAACACAAATGGTCTTTGAACTTTGGTTAAGTGTGTGATGTGGTCCATGAACTGTGGCCCAATGCGCATTATCGTCCCTAGATTTTTAATTTTTTCAATATGATCCCTCATTTATTGATAAATGTTCAATAGGATCAATAGACTATATGAAAATATTTAAAAATTCAGGGATCACGTTGAAACAATTAAAAGTTTAAGGATGACATTGCAAGTTAAGTTAAAGTTCAGGGATCATTTATGTCATTTTTCTTTTGTCATTCATTGTCGCAACATGCCGTACTTGATGTACACTTGCTTTACACAGGACCCTTCGTGGGTCTAATACCATTAGTCTATCTTCGTGGTGTCATCATTCCTTTTGCAGGAATAGGCCATACCAGAAAACAAAGTCGATTTACATCAAATGCTCTCCAATTACATATCATCATTCATCACCGCCGGAATCGACCCCTGGGAAATGGTCCGAGCTGCATCACGCCGAGAAACAGCCGCCTTTGTCATTGTGGATGCCACTCAGGCCTTCACCGCTAAAGTCGTTGATGGTGAAGTCGTTGGAGTGGCTTGTGATTCCACTAATACTCTCATGGTAGGTGATGGTTATGCTGGGGACATTAAGGTCTGTAATTACGTCCAAACATATTTTGCTTCAATTACTAAATCTTTAAATGTTTGTTTCTTGTTTGCGTTTCACACGAAACAAGTCCAGCCTGTTATATGTGACATCTTTGATTTACCAACTTGATCCTGACATATATGCAAGTGCTTCTTGTTGCAAATCTTAGTTTTCCCTTTTCAAAACGGACTTTACTGCTCATTGGATTTTGTTTAGGGTTTGTTGGTTTACACTTAAACAAGAGAGAGATGCAACACTGTCATTTCCTCTGAAACTCTAAAATGATTTTCTACGTTAGAATCTTGATCAGAACAAAAAGCCTTACTACTTGTCCATGGAGCTGTTAATTCTTTGGCAAATTGTCTAGTTTAAGTTTCCTTGTCATAGCTTATGTAAAACGTGCAAGCTATGTTTTAATTTGATGCATATGATTTGGCTTCTCTACCTTTCTCCTGATCCTTTAGTAAGTGAAGATCTACCTGCGTGCATGTAGGAAGTGAATATCTTCTGACATGCATGCACACATGACTGGACAGCAAGGTTATATTTGCTATAGTCTCTGAATATAATTGTCTGTTAATAAAATATAACGATGGTGGTTATGTTGAGTTTTTATGTCGCTGGTCTAGCAACTCCAGCTAATATATGCTTTCTTTTCACATGCCTTCCATGCTAATTAAAACGAATCATAACTAGGTTTCATGCTCGAGTCTTCATTGATGCCTATTATATATTCGTGGAGTGTGCTTGTTTCATGCAAACTCCAGTGGAAAAAAGTTTAAATTAGGAAACTTCTTCATTAAATTGAAAATAATTTCAAGACATGTATTGAAGTTGGTATATACAACTTATTTTTTGGATAGCATTTCAAGATGGTAGTTGGCCACCCTATTTGGAGATTGGTGGCAGCAACTGGAGATGGTGGTCGTGGTCGTGGTCGTGGTCATGTGGCTAATTACCGTGGGTATAATGGAGCAGAAACTCATGCTAGCTAGGGAAAATGATTTCTTGATGCAGCGACAACCCTAACAAGAAAAATAGTTGCCGAAAGTGAATGAGCAAACAGAAAGAACTTAAAAACCGTTGGAAAGACTTTCTTCTGGAATTCAAGGCTAAGGGAAAGAAGGAATAACATTTTAAATGATGGATTGTATTCAACTACAATATGAAAAACCCATTATACATGAGAGTCCTGCCTGGAAAAGTGGAGCCGATAGTACTAGGATTTCAAAACTCACGTAAAAATACAAGAGGACTGTAAAAGTAAACTTGCTGAATCTGATAAATTGTAACTTGTTTTTATCCTGTGCTCTTGCATCACTTCTAAAAACATGTTTCAATTGGAATTGAAGTATGTTGTTTAGTCGATTGAGAAAACCTTTTCATTGATCAACCTTTGTCAATGGTAAAAAACGGGGGAAATCTTATTTTCAGGTTTCTTGATGCTCTTACCCTCTTTTTTGTCCATAGTTAGAAAGGTGTTATAGTTATAGTTATACTTTAAAAAAATGCTTCAAATATTCCTTTAATACTTAAAAAGGATGCTTATGGCCCACCCCAATAGTGGATAAGGCTTAGTTGTTGTTGACGTGCTAGAGATCTTTCTGAGATTAGCTTCGATAAGATGTAAGTCTGATTCCTGGAGTTATTTGTGGTGCAGGTCTGGGATATCATGGGACGTGAATTGAAATCTAGTTGGGGAATTGGTTCTTCTTTGGTAAAAATTTCTTACCATCGTCTGAATGGTGATTAATTGTCTGAGCACTGCCCCATCCCCTCCCCTCCCCGCTCTTCTTTCACTGTGGGTGCAATGTCTTTTTCGTGTATGCTCACATACTCACACTATATACATGCATGTGTTTTTATGTATACACTAGCATAAGTTTAAACTATATTTATAGTGAAAAGAAAGAACTTCTGTTATTCTTGTAACTGTAATTGTCTACTTTATCTTGATAAATCTTGCAGGTCTTTTGGCTACGGTCGCAGATGATTTTGTTATTCATCTTTTTGATGTTGTCGACCTAAGAATGGTCCGAAAGTTTGAAGGTCATACAGATTGAATTACAGATTTGTGCTTTAGCGCGGATGGGAAATGGCTTGTCTTCCAGTATGGATGGCAGTCTAAGGATTTGGGATATTATTTTAGCTAGACAAGTAGATGCAGTATATGTCGATGTCTCCATCACGGTGTTATCTCTGTCACCAAATATGGATATTTTAGCCATAACACATGTTGATCAAAATGGGGTCTATCTCTGGTAAGTTGTTAGTGCATCTCTAATTTTTCAATTAGTCATATAATCGCATTCATTGTTTGGAGTCACATTGGTTCAAGTATCTATTTGGGATTGGTCAAGACACACATAAGGAATAATGAAGCCTTAAGAACATGGTTTCTAGAGATTAATTATATTAAGGTGATTTTGTATTCTTTTGTATGTAGACAAACTGATGAGAGACGAACTTTGATTGACCAGGGTTAACCAATCAATGTTTTCTGGTGGTTCTGACATCAATTTGTATGCAAGTGGCAAAGAAGTTGTGACTGTTAAACTGCCATCAGTATCATCAGTGGAAGGTTCTCAAGTTGAAGAATCTAATGAGCCTACCATTAGGCATTCAGAGTCTAAAGATGTCCCTTCCTTCCATCCTTTGCTTGAGCAAATTCCGGATCTAGTTACCCTCTCGCTATTGCCGAAGAGCCAGTGGCAGAGCTTGATTAATCTAGACATTATAAAGGTCTCCTCTCTCATGTCCTTTTTTTTTATCAGTCACAACCTTCTCTGTGAAAGATTTGTTTCATTTACCTCTCCACTGCTTTTTTTTGTCTCTGTAAGATTGTCCTATAATCATATTGGGGACCTGTTGGTGACTATCTTCACTCATCTTTTCTTATTTTATAGGTTCGCAATAAGCCCATTGAGCCACCCAAGAAACCTGAGAAAGCTCCTTTCGTTTTGCCCTCTATTCCATCTCTTTCAGGAGAAATACTATTTAAGCCAAGTGAGACGTCTGATAAGGGAGACATGAAAGCTGATGAAGACAAATCTAAGATAACACCTGAAGTGCCGTCATCGCAGTTTCTGCAACTGCTTCAGTCTTGTTCAGAGGCCAAAAACTGTGAGTGACAGTTCTCGTGGAAATCTCAGCATTTACACCCGTGCTGAAAGTATCATCTGAGACAATCATGCTAATTCTACATTTCTGGATTTGACATTTTTCAGTTTCGCCTTTTACCGCCTACATCAAAGGGTTATCTCCCTCAACTTTGGATTTGGAACTTCGGATGCTTCAGCTAATAGATGGCTATGACGATAGCGCTGATGATGATGATCTACAAGATGTTGACAAGAGACGAGTTGCTTTCAATCGAATTACTTATGGATTACTTTATACATGAAATATCATGCCGGAGTAATTTTGAATTTGTACAAGCTCTAGTCAGGTTGTTTTTGAAGTTATTGATCTTTTCAACATGTCATGTTTGAAGTATAGATCTCCGTTACAGGAATGTGGTGAATGAATCACTGATTATGATGGCAATATTAGGAAGGACTGCCAATACCTTTTGGCTTATTCCGGTGCCTATTATTAATGAGAAGATACAGATTTGACTATCAGTCGATAGTATACTATTGATTTTTAGAAAAAAAAACATAATTGCTTCACTAAAGTTGGTAATGTGACTTTTGACATCTCTTATTCTGTTCTGCCAGATACATGGGGAGACAATAAGGCGCCAGTCAGTGTTGCAGAATAAGGCAAAGGTCCTTTTGCATGCTTGCTTTTCTCAGCAACTCACAGTTTTAGGTACTAAACATATCACCTGTTTATTCCCTCTTCTTGTTTTGATATTAGGCCATTTTTTATACAGGAAACTTGATAATGTATTCTTTTTACATAGTTATGATTTTTAATCTGGAGTTATATTTATGTACGTTATAGCAAGGGGAAGATGATACAGATGGAAAAAGTAGTTGGATCTACACTGAGGCGTGAGTCCGGAAATTTAATATGTTGGATGGGTTCCTATTGGAGCTATAAATTCGCTCCTTCTGTAACTGAGCAATCATTCTGTGACACTTCTTTCAGAGATTTTTAAAAGGAAGCCTTTTCTTACGCCTTCTTTATTGTGTTTGTGTTATGCTAGTTGATCATATGCATATGTCAAACGGTCAGGAGTCATGCGATTTGGTCTAAGACGCATGGGTTTTAAATCGGACTAGACTAGCCAGTTCAACTGGTTCGAACTAGGAACTGGCTGGTGATCTGGTTCAATTATTCACCTTATTAGCATTCGTGATAACGTGCGAATCACACTGAATTTCACACTGAGGACCAGACTGGTTAGAAAATCAAGTGCGTACTGATCTGACCCTCTAACAGCGATGGTTAGGTTGTGTTACCATCTGGGATGGAATTGCGTTGTTCCTCACTTGCTTGGCCCATTTGATAGTGGAGCAAAATAAACAACAATGCTGCAGCCAGGCGACTCAACCATTGGAGCTCCAGGATCAAATTCACGCGAGCCTGCGTGTATATAGTATCGTTTTTGCTTGCATTATTTGTGCGTTATTACATCTCTATTCGCCAATAGTCAATACCGCCATTGGAGGGGCTTGTCGTTGCCGCTGCCTGGTTTTGAATAAATCTAGCTAGGCTTGATTTTGGGGTCGTCCGTGTCTGTCACGTCCTCCTGCTGCTTGCCACTAGCCACCATCTAAGCCCAAGCCATCCTCATCGTCTAATTTACTAATAGAAAATGCTAATATATTTTATTTTATTATTTTTCTTGAGACACGTAGCGATAATGTGGCGTTGAACAAGCATCGCGTCAAAAAAAATTTAAAAAAATATAAATTAAATTAGAAAGAAGCTATAAAAAAAAGACCCACGACCAGTAGCTGGAGCGGTGGCAAGCCCTCATTTGTGGCCGCCACCACAGCCACCGGGAAGGGCCGGCGGGGGTTGCCTGGGCCTTCTCGAAGCCCAGCGACCCTCACCGGCCCCAGGTGAGGGCTTCAGATCTGGGGCGTGGGTCGCGCCCTCCCCTAGATCGGGGGTCGGTGAAGGTCACTAAGTTTCGGGAAGGCCTAGGCAACCTCCACTGGCCCTTCCTGGCGGCTGTGGCAATGGCCACCGACGAGGACTTGGCCATCGCCACAACTGCTGGTTGTGGGTCTTTTTTTTTTTATAGCTTTTTTCTAATTTAATTTATATTTTTTAATTTTTTCTGACGTGACGCTTGTTGGATGCCGCATCATCTGTCTCAAGAAAATTAATAAAATAAGACATGTCAGCACCTCGTTAGCATTTTCGGTTAATAAATTAGACTGTGTTAACTTTAGAACTCGATTGAACTAATGAACAAGTTTTAGGGTTCGATTGCACTTTTTGCAAATTTTATGACTCAATTACTTTTTCGTAATAAGTTTTAGTACTTCTAGTGCACATATCCCTTACTTTTATGTTTCATATGGTGGACAAGACCGGCAAAAGGACTCTGGCTGTTGTACCAAAGGCTGATAAAGCTCCGGAGGGCTTGCTCGAGAAGGTGACCGCCGATGACGTCAATATAGGGCTTGGTTATGGGTGTGTGAGGAACAGGATTGGTGACGAGTCTTACGAAGAAGCGAGGCTCGAAGAGGCGAGGCTGTTTGAGATGCACCCTCAGCTGTGCAAAATTGACGAGTCCATCGTTGGTGTGCTTGTCTTGGCACAAAAGCTGATGCAGATTCAAGCCACCATTATGGCCAAGTGTTTGCCAGATATCGTCAAGAGGATCAATGACAAGCTGAACGCGAGCGTCGCCAAGCTCAATAGGATGCCCAAGAATCTGTCCTCAGTCGCAGAGGCCGTGACGGTCTTCATGCAGATCATGGGGTCGGCAAAGGAGTCGCTGAGGAAAGTCCTGCTGAGAGGCGAGTTCGACGACCCAGACGAGAAGAACATGCACTGCACGGCCAGGCCGGTGGAGATGTTGAACCAATACTACGATGAGCTCCAAAACTGCCCTGAGAGCGACCCTCGGACTAACTTCTTGTCAGAGGAACTGGAGTTCTTGGAAGAGGCCAAAGGGATCGGACTCCCAAACTTCCTCGCTCGCACCGCCTTTCTCACCCCTTTGCAGCGGAAGTTGAAGGCAGTATCGAGCCAGCCACCGAGTTTTGGGGTTCGTGCTTGGGACTACATTGGGGGGGAGGAGGCGGGGGTTGTAATTCGGGAGTTGATGCGACACTCGGAGAATTATCCTCAGCTGCAGTATTGGACAAGAAGCTCACTGACTACACTTGCAACCCTGAGTACCAGTTGGAGTGGAACAAGCTGATGACCCAGCAGAACCAGTTCATACCGGTGATCAACACCAAGTATCTGTCCACCAACATGGTCCTCGAGGGGATCGGGCAGGTCGACGTGCGCCATCTGAGGAATCACCAGCAGCTGGTTCAGGAGACGTTCGATCTGAAGATGAGGATGACCGCGTACTGGAAGATCGTGCTGAGGAGGTTCGTGGACTCGATGGCACTGCACCTGCCGTTCAGCGTGCACAACTCGGTGAGCAAGGATATGGAGAAGGAGATTGTGGGCGAGCTGATCGGGCCCAATGGCAGCGACAGCATCGAGAGGATGCTGGAGGAAGAGCCGTTGGCGGCGGCCAAGCGCGAGAAGCTGAGCAGGAGCATCAAGCTGTTGAGGGAGTCCGCGGAAGTGGTGGCCAATATCATGGACCGGATTGCTACTGATGGTGACTACAGGGATTAGTTAGTCTGTTCTTCTACTGGCCCTTAATTAAGCTTTTCCTATGATGATGTGTTTCTCTTATGAGCGTGTTAATGTTGCTGTTCTAGTAATCAGCTTTTAATTGATGGTCGGACATCACTTGATCAAAATTTGTAAGGTCGAATTTGTTGTGTTATGACTAAAATAAACTCTAGTGCAACAAAATTAGACGTATGTTACGATTAGCTGATCGGAAAGTCGTGAGGAAATATTTCATTGACTTATTAAAACATTTTTTGTAACCTCATTTTTCTTAGCGATATAAAGGATTAAAGGTCGGAAAATCTTTTGTAAACTGCTGATTTTTCACGAGACAAAACGCACGTAAATGGACTTCGAGTCATCATCAAACAAAAGACTAGCACTATTGCAAATGATTTGTTTATTGAATGTTTGAAGTGATCACAACACCTGCCTTTTCCGCGTTGGTCGATCTAATCGACCCCTACTATCATAGTGGTGGTCAGCTCTATCATGGTCCTCACCTCATACTAAGCCACGCCGGCCCCTCTCCTCTCCTCCACGGATCGTGCTTGGCCCGGTACTGAAATGAGTAAGGCCAGCCCGGAAGCCAAATTTATCTGGACAATATAGAGAGATCTTGATCGACCACCACATGGCGGCGGCGGGAGAGGCATGGCCGCCGCGAAGTGGAACAAAAATCATCCATTCCCTAGTATTCGTACAAGTAGTTCAAGATTTTATTGGACTCATAGAGACGTCTCTCTCTCTCTCTCTCTCTCTCTCTCTCTCTCTCTCTCTCTCTCTCTCTCTCTCTCTCTCTCTCTCTCTCTCTCTCTTTATTTGGCTCAAAAGAAAATGAAAAAAGAGATTTGCCGATTTGGGAAAACGACTTGACAATTCAAATCGTTATGTTGCGCCGATATACGCCGGTGCGCAGTCGGCACTAGAGAAATGCATATGACATGGCAAAACACTTGATAAAAGGATTGCATCGAGCGAGTTTTTGGGGACCATATTGAAATTGAAGAAAAGTTCAAGGATTGCCCTCAACATTAGCTAAACAAAAAGTAAATGCGAGAACTATCTATAGGTATCTATATAAAAATGTTGTAGCAAAAACGATTGTGCAGAAAACGAGGCCGATACATCCCTGGACAGAATTGTTATCTTCACAATTGTCTACATCGTATTGTAGATGGATAGAAAACATTGGAACACTCGAAAACATTCATGCATCCTATCCTGTCCTTGTACGTCGCAATTGGGTGCATTTTGCCATAACTTAAAAGATAAAATCTCATGTTGGCTATGCAATTAACAAGGACATGATAAGCCGTACCGTAGTTCATTTTGCGATAGCGCTTTTCATTTAGTTATGCCAATCTCTCCCTCTAACGTACGCTTTGATTTGAAATGTCCGGTGTCATCGAAGATAGGGGAGTTTCAAAATATTCATTTGTCATTGGGATAGTAACACAAATGATCACTGAACTTTGGTTCAATGTGCAATATGAATTTTGAACTATGGCACAATGTGCAATGTCATCTCTAGATTTTTGATTTGTTCGATATAGTCACTCATCTATTGATAAATGTTCAATAGAGTCTATAGACTATATGAAAATGTTTAAAAATTCATGAACCAATTTAAGAATTTAAAAATTTAGGGATGACATTGCATACTAAGTCAAAGTTCATGAATTATTTGTGTTATTTT